AGATGCTAGAGTTATGAACGCTGTCATGCATGATGTGAGTAATGACAAAGAACAATTAATTATCTTAAGTCGAGAGTAGATCTAGATACCATTATTTTATAATAACAAAGATAATACTAAAAAATCAATTTACTTTTGAATTCTAAGTTCAAAAATGAAAAGGAGATAATTCTGGGAATACAGGAGCTTGAAACTTATATGAAATAAGGCAAAGCCTAGATGAACAAGGAAGTCATTTAAAAGTTTCATTTTCAGCTGTACCTTAAGATAAGACACTATTCTTTTTGAAAAATTGATAAGTCCAGTGAGTCAGAGAAGAAAGAGAATCCAGTGACTCCATTTCAGCACTTAAAGGATTCATTGATACATAGAAGGAGGCAGTGCATTTCAATGAATTTAGTACACAGAAGAAACATCATAAAATATAGATTGAGTTTAAATTTGACATTAGGTCAATGAATAACATTTCGCACAGGGCTTGAGCTAGGTCAAAATTTTAGGGAGAAGTGACTTCTCCAGGGTTCTCGGGGACGCTTATTTCGGCGTCCCGGTACACATGTTTATTACAGCTGGACGCAAATATTTCAGAGCAAGGATTCCACGTACGCTTAATTTTGCCTGAGGATGCATAAACATTACTGATTGTTTACAACCGTGTGTCAGTCTATAGGTAGGCGGTCCTATGCACATCGACCCGTAATGCGATTAGCCAATCAGCGATAACGCTTCCGATCATTATCACGCAATAGTGATCAGATTAATGTTTACACGTGCTGTACATGTAATTACCAGATATAACACGAGGTGACAATTTAATATCTTTGATCAACAATTGATTGGAAATTAGCAAATTTTACCGACAAAAGGATAAAATTATTGACAATTTACAACGCAAGTTTAAAGACTGTTTTCTCAAATTACAAATGACTTAATGAATGTAATTTTGAATGATTGTCGAATATTTTCGGCATTTTCTAGGCACAATTTTGCTTTAGTTTCATTCTAGCAAAAACGTTCTATAAGCAGGCCTCGACACTAACATTTTTAGCAGGTGGTACGCCGGACCACTAGATTTGAAAGTTAGGTGGTCCTTCCAGAAGTTGGGTGGTCAGTTATCATTATTATATCATTTTACTGCAAATGTAGAAAAAATGTTTAACCATGATGACAAAGTTGTATTATTAACCTTTAAAGAAAACAAATATTTTTAGATATATATTTTTCATCTAATTAGAAAAGGGAGAGCAAGTCAGTAGGTACTCTATTGTAGATTTATTTGTTTGTTTGTTTTTATCTCATTCAAAAATACACAACAGAGCTCTTATTTATGTTAACTTTCATATTGAAGTGATTTCTCCCTCAAATCAAGTTAAGGAATAGTAAAACCATTTGTGTCTGTAATTTTCTTACTGTTATTCAAATATCCATTGCTGATACATGGTACGTCTTATAATCATGACAGTAACATAGTATCTTTTATAGATTAACATTTTTAATGAAACTAATAAATTATCTTATTCTTGTCTTTGAAACCAAGGAAATATCTAAATTATTAAAATAATTACAACACAATGTTATGTATAACTGTAGTTTAGCTTACTTTTCTCACAGATTTATAATACAGAAGTTTTACCTACCTGTTGCTTGTTGGTTGATATTCATTTTTAGCTCGACTTTTCTATGAAAAGGGGAGCTATCCTACTCGCCCCGGCGTCGGCGTTGGCGTCACACCTTGGTTAAGTTTTTCGTACCACCCCACTTTATTTCAGAAGTATTACAAGTATGGCTTTGAAACTTACCATACTTGTTCACCATCATAACCTCCATCTACAGACAAGAGTACATAACTCTGTCAAGGTTTTTGACAGAATTATGGCCCTTTTTTGACTTAGAAAGTGTATTGAGCTTGGTTAAGTTTTTTGTACCACCTCACTTTATTTCAAAACCATTGGAGGTATTGCTTTGAAACTGACCATACTTGTTTACCATCACGACCTTCATCAACAGACAAGAGGACATAACTCTGTCAAGGTTTTTGACAGAATTATGCCCCTTTTTGACTTAGAAAATACATTGAATATGGGTAAAATCCACTTATTGCCTTAACCCTTTGAGATATTGCTTTGAAACTTTTAATGCTATTCACATCATTACCCCCATCTGTACGCAAGAGAAGGTAACTCTGTCAAGGATTTGTTTTAAAAATTAAGGCCTTTTATCGACTTAGAATCTTGGTTAAGTTTTTTAGTACCAGTCCACTTTTTGACTGAACTGTTTGAGATATTAATTTGAAAGTTGGAATACTTGTTTACAATCATGATTCCCAAACATGTCCAGGAGAAGGTAATTCTGTCAAAGATTTTATTTGAATTATGGCCCTTAACTGTCAATGTTTTGTATTATAGGCAAGCACTAAAAAACTTAAAAAATCTAAAAAAATTCATTCCTATCCACTTGTTCACTTTACCATAAATTATGTCATAATAAAATAATTCTTCACTAAATATCTTAATGCTCATGGCCATTGTTCACTTTAAAAATACAGAGATTCTTGTATTGCCTTTTACTGCAAAAACTTTTTTTATTGGCAAGCAATAAAAAAGTCGAGCGCGCTGTCTTACGGACAGCTCTTGTTTAAATTGAGTATTTTTAACCTTTTAAATTAATTTTAACTCTAGGAGAAATAGATCTCTTATCGTTATACAGTTAAAATAAAGATAAATAGCAAAGAATTACTAGATGTATTTCTTCCAGATCATTTCGTGTGATGCCATTATTCAAGTATCTGAAATTTAAGTTTATCCGATATCATATAATTACCATCATCGGATACTCACGGTTGATTAACATGTAACATAACATAAATGTTAATGGTTCCGCCGTCGGTATCCAACGATGCATAATTACTAGCACCATTTGAATGAATTTTGTACCTAAATTAATATCACAAATTCTAAACTCTTTTAACTTGCAAAACAAAATGTTAGCGACTTCAAATGAAAGTTATCGATGACTTAAGAACTTCTTTAACTAATCAGAGATTAATGAACCATATACATGTACATCGGACACAAGATTTTTTAACAAAATCATATAAACTGTTTTTGACCAAATCGCCATTCTTCCAAATGATCTTTGCGTCAACAAGAAAATTCAAGTGGTCCAACAGACCAGTGGGTTTTAAAATTAGGTGGTCCTTGCCAAAATCAAGTGGTCTCGGACCAACGGACCACCGCTAATGTCGAGGCCTGATAAGAGTATTAAGAATTTAAGATATTGTGCCGAAATTCCAGGACAACAAACCAAAATACACATACAGTACGCTTTTGTTCTATCCGAAAATTGATACCGAACATCGCTGATTTCACGTTCGCCAGAAACCCTAAAATTTCGCAAAAATTCTCAGTTTTCAAGCCAAACATGTGAATGAATTGTTCCTTTATTATTTAATCAACATTAAATCTTTAAATATCGATCTTCAATTTGCCCCTTTTTGAAGATATTTGCTAAAATAATTGTCGATTGGATGAATCTCTTACACACTGTGTGAAGCTGTACACGATTTTCCTATTCATTCCGCTAAACGCTGCCTATATACATTTACGTTTTTTTTTATAAATATAAACTTTTTGTCTTTAGAGAAGACTTATCTAACCAGAATAAAATTTGATTTGGTATAAAAGTGAAGAAAAAAAACACAAAAAAAACAAAAACAAATGATTTCCATGTGTTGATGTATTATAATGAAATAATTTCATAATAAATATTAACAACAAAACAATAATTATACTATGTAGTTCAGAGTTTCTTTTGAATAACTATGAACTTTGAAAGTCTCTTAAAGATTCAAAATATCAGCAATGCTATTGTGAACATTGAATGACTAATCTGTAAACTTATTAATTGTGACGCGCTTTTGGACTCCAAGTTTTTCAGGGTTGGGAGTCCATGGACTCCATGTTTAAAGTCCTAGTGAGAATCCTGCTTCTCCCTCCAGCTGATTTAGGGAGAAGTCAGTAGACTTTAGGGAGAAGTTGGGAGACATATAAGGCAACATCATAATTCATAATCATTTTCCTATATAATCTTTATATAGTAAAACATGATGAAATTTGTCACACAACAAAAACAGAGCTTCAGGTATATGCCTGAAAACTTGCAATCATACATGTATGTTGTGAGTATTTTTAGTTGGTAACAATATTCAGGACAGAGCAGTGCCACTTGCCATTAGCAATAAGTTAGACTGGTCATCATCTACAATTTTCCTTAAGGGATTTGCCCTTAAGCCAGAATTTTATTTTGTATAACTTTATCAGCGTGTTAACTTTACGAAGTTCAATGAACTAATAAAATATTAGATACAAAATCTTCACATATAATTTCAACAGATTTTTGCTCCGAAAGGTTTTTAACAATCGATTTTTCAATGATATTCACACCTTTAAGACGTTGGGCATTGTTTATCTTTAGTTTACTCGTCAAAACACCTCAACAATTATCAACAATTATGTATATGCAGGTGTCTTTAATCATGCAATCGGCGAAAATTGATTGAATCTGTCGCCATTTTGTGTAATTGTCAACAAATAGCCGCAGTATGTTAGTGTGTGGCTGATTGGTCAATGCAAACTGTCGCAGATATAACGCGTGTTCTGATTCGTCAATCGCATGAATACATAATGAAAATGATCTACATAGTGAACTCTTGCCTTGTTGATGTTGACACGCGGTTTTAACTAGCTGATTAAAGGTAATTGGTTGTAATTGAGAAGTAAAAAAATTGTTAACATACCTAGCGTCGTAAAATGTATGACAGATCACTAAAAAATTGGGCGCCTTCAAAATTGCTTTGAAGTTTGTTTTAGGCAAAGTCGCTGATCCCAAAGCAACTTCTTCGACCAAGTCGCCCCCTAGCTCAAGCCCTGTCGCATTGTTTTAAGTAGTGGGGTGTAATTTATATAGCCTTAGTTAAATTCATTTCATGTTTATTAATTCAGGCTCTAGAAGAAGAAGGTCATGACCCAAACACTGTTGAATTAGAGGTAACTGAATCACCAGCTGGCAAAAAAACACCAGGATCTGCCAGAAAAGCACAGTTAAAAACAAAAACAGATGGTAATATATCTTCAAGTTGTTTCAAAATTAGAAATTACTTAATTGATTTATTTCACAATGCTTTAGGCAAACTGTATGTTGATTTTATTGAATTTGCTTATGTGGCTGTGCCTAGCCATTTCATAATATATTTCAAGTTAGGAAATATTTCCAGTTAGGACAAAATAGTTGCTCATTTTAAGTGGAGATTATTAGTTGTAACTATATAACATGTCATACGATTAGTGCATGTTCATTGTTTTTGTTTAATTTCTTTTAAATGTATTGTTTTATTTCTTGATTAGATCCTGCAATAATATTAATATAATATTATTCAACATTGTATTCAGTTTTAGGCATGGTTGTAGTAAATGCAAAAATCAAGTTGCCTATGAAAGTGTTTCTTCAGTATTGCATATCATATGTGATCTCTTAACTTGCATTTTTTAATGGGTTTTCCCTGCTTTATATATGGAAGAGTCCATTCAAAGTGAATGGAGTGAAAATATCAAAATACAAATATTGAACTACTGACATAGTACATGTATATTTTAGATCCCAGTCAAACAGCACCAATTTGTATGCTGGCCTGGCTCTATATTGGTAACAAAGTTGCTTAATATTTTATCATCTTTTTTTTTTCAGAAGACAAAGATGCAGAGGATAAAGATGCAGACAAGGTTTGTATTAGACTGTGTATTACATTGAATCATATACATTGAAGAGATTCTATTGATTGATGAGTGTGAAGGTTTGAATTTACAGTGGCAGCATGGCCGAGTGGTTAGTGTGTCAGTCTAGTAATCTAATGATCGCTAGCCACATGGGTTCAAACCCCGTCATGGGCCAGTCGTTTCCTTGAGCAAGAAACTTTACACTCATTGCTCAGTACTGGTTGGTTCCAGGAACGGTTTCGAAAGTGTGACTATAAGTTTATAGATTGAACTAAAATAAATTCTGAAACATCTTTGTGTATTATTTCAATCCTAGAAAGATTATTTGCTCACACTCTTGTTTCCAGGTTTAGTTCTTTGTAATTTTGTCTTTTGTGAATTTCAAATAGTTTGTTTATGTCTTGCAATACAGTTTTTTTTTTTGCTGTCCTATTTTGATGCCTGGTATTGGGTCATGTTCCCAATGCCAAAAAGTATGTCTTTCCCAATTTCAAGAAGAAAATTCCCAATTCAAGGAACAAAAAATAAAATAATTAAAATTATTGTCATTTTGCTTCATTTAACTACACTGTGGCCATAGAAAATTGTAATCTTGAATTCCAAATTGTAATATTTGTTTATGAGTGAAATATTGCAGGAGTTTAATCACCCACTGAACCAAATATTTGATTTCTTGGTCTTTTTTATGTATATATAATACATGTGTTGCCAGTTTTTCAAAATTTGTCTAATTTCTAAAGCAATAAAAATTCCTAATTCTGGGGGTTGGGTCATATTCCCAAAGTGCTGAGAGAAAAAACTCTGTGAAGTTGTTTTGTGTTCAGGTTTATTAAGGAAAGTATAAAAGAATTCTGGCATTTTCTTGTAAATTGAAAAGTATGGTCTCATATGTATTTATTTGTAAAATTATTTTGAATTATTTTTTTCACTTGTATGTATTTACAGTTTTTTTAGCTCACCTGTCACAAAGTGACAGGGTGACATTTTGTGATCGCTTTTACTTTAAATGACATCTCCTCATAAACCACTAAGCCAATTTCATCCAAACTTCACAGGATTGTTCCTTTGGTGGTCACCTTTAAAAATTGTTTAAAGAATTTAATTCCATGCAGAACTCTGGTTGCCATGGCAACCGTAAGAAAAAACTTTAAATATCTTCTTCTAAAAAAACCCTAAGAGCTAGAGCTTAGATATTTGGCATGAAACATCTTCTAGTGAGTGTCTACCAAGTTTGTTCAAATAAAAGCCCCGGGGTCAAAATTGGCCCCGCCCCAGGGGGACATTAATTTCCCTATATGCATTATAGTAAAAACTTAAAAAATCTTCCTTTAAAGAACCCAAAAAGCTAGAGCTAAGATATTTAGCATGAAACATCTTCTAATGAGTGTCTACAAAGTTTGTTCAAATAAAAGCCCTGGGGTCAAAACTGGCCCTGCCCCAGGGGTGTCATTGTTTTTATCTATATGTATATAGTAAAAACTTAAAAAATCTTCTTTTAAAAAACCCAATGAGTTAGAGCTTAGATGTTTAGCATGAAACATCTTCTTATGGGTGTCTACCAAGTTTGTTCAAATAAAAGCCCTTGGGTTAAAATTAGCCTGCCCCGGGGGGGGGGGGGGAGAGAAGGAAGAGGAGCCGATATACAGGTGAGCGACCTCAGGGCCGATGGCCCTCTTGTTTCTTTATATAACTACTATCCCAAAACGGCACTATTCTCAATAGAAAATAGACATTAAAATTCCCAATTTCCAATGTTTAAATTGCCAAAATGGCTGTTCAAAATGCCCACAACGCCAAGTGATTTTTTAAAAATCATTTAAATCCAACATATTCATGTGAATCACCACTCAATAGTTCTATCAGGACAGTAGAAGCTGTTAGCTATCTTTATTTATGATGACTAGTCTTATTTGTAGCTGAAAAAATGCATTAAAAAAATCCCAATTTTAGTCAAAATAACACATTTATTTTCCCAATCAGTCTGGTACTGGCACCATTCCCAAAGTAGAGAGAAAAAAAACGCTGATTAACTTAAGGAAATTCAGCTTCTTGGTTGTCATACTTGATTGTAGAATTAATGATTAATTTACCAAAAAAATGTTATAAAAAAAATGATACAATTTTTTCTGTAGCTGTATTTAATATATTTCAGTTTGAAGACGAGGGTGAAGAGGATGAAACTGAAGATTGCTCAGTTGAGATTATAGAACCTAAAGTTGATACAGTAGACCTTACAGAGAATGATTCAGAGAAGGAGGACAATGTAAGCTTTATATTAGAATATGTACTCATATTTATACTTTATAAAGTAAAACCAAAGGTTTATATAATATATGTATATAAATGTTACAAATTCTGCAAGAAAATAAAATTATGTTCATTAATAACCTGATGGCCTTTTTTTTTTTTTTTTGCAGGACACTGTGACTGATGAAAAATCTGACGAAAAGAAAACTGACCAGATAGAGAACGGGGTAAAGTGCTTGTAATAAATTCATTATTTTAAATTGAAATATAAAGTGGTCAATTTTTAGCTGGTCTGTTTCAAAAGAAAAGGTAGTGCTATTATGATTGCTGCTCCGTCGTCATTGCCATTGTGCAAAGATAGAAAAAAATATTTGAAGGCCAAGGTTCTGCTACTGAGTAGAATTAGATTCAACTTGATAATGTATTTTCCATTTAAGAATAGTTGAATTGTTTACTCACATTATATGTAAATATGAATGAAGTTCTATTGTTTTAGGAGAAATTCAATTTCTTTACAGTTGGAGGTTGCATCAGAGCAGACTGAAGCTAAGCAAACCAGTACAGACTCAAAGGAGGAACCAATGGTAGCTTAACACTATTTTATATAGTATTTTTTAACAATGGAGCTATTGTCTTGACTCTCTTATTGGCGTTGGCATTGATTAATCTTATGTTGACGTCCATTGTCTAAAAAGACAGTAAAAGCTATTCACTTCAAACTTGTTTATACATGTTTATTGTCATAAAAGGGCAGATAACCCTAAAATTATTTTTTGCAAAGTTTGCTCCTCTTTCAAGCTCGGTTTTTAGCCCTTGTTAACTTTTTCGTTAATTTCCTGCCTTAGTGGTTTCTTGTTAGATATTTTTTTTTTTAATTCTAAAAGGCAGAAAGATGTACATACCTTGAGTGATATTTGACCCCCTTTGAGATAGTGCTTTTAAGTTTGAAATACTTGTTAACTTTTTAGCAAGAAGTGGCATAACTCTGTCAAATTACTTTAGTATAAATTTCAAAGGACATGGTTCCATAATTCGTAAGCTTTTTAAGAATAGTCAATAGTGGATGCTCTTAGGGCAAGTGGTTATTGAAACCATTGTAAAATTTTTACAGGAAAACAGAAAAATGAAGTTAAAGAGCAGAAACAAAAGAGGAACCCAGGTATAAAAAATAATAATGACCAAATTAATAATCTAACTTTAAGGATATCTGTTTTTTTTACCCAAAATTGCTTGTATAGGCTTAAGATTACAATACTTCAGATAATATTTCCCAATAAGTCAAAAAGTTTATTTTACCAATTGAAAGATTATAAGCCTACCAAAATGCATTAAGCCCTATTTTTAAATTGCCACTTTATGTCCAAATGTTTGGGAAGGCAGATAGTAAGACGGAAGAAGAAATATTGCCAGACCAAGTGCAGCAAGATTCAAGCCATGCAAACTTTTTTGTCTGATTTGTCATAAAATGGATTCACGGTTATGAAATTTGTCAAAATACCCAGACAAGTTTGGAACTTAATGTGTTGGAGCATGGACATTTATGCTGATTGGATATTTTGAAGAACAATATGGTAAAGTGATAAAGACGAAGTGAACCAACTTGTGAGTTTTCTCCTTGTGACGTTTTCTCCATGAGCAGTTACAATTGAAATTTTGGGTGTGGATATCACAGCATTGACCAACCAAAGAAAACAAGGGAATCGTAGGTTATCTTTTGTCTTAATCTACAGGGTAAAACTGCGGTTATAAGTAAGTATGCCCTTGGCCATGAAATTGTCCCCTTATTCAACAACCAACTCATTATTTTATGTATATTTCAACTAGACAATTTTTCTGCTTTCTATAGCCCAAGCAGTCCCTAGTTCTGTTACAACTGAGACTCCTGCTTTGCCTGTTGTTAGTGAACAGCAGGAAAACAATCCAGAATCTTCTGAGCCTATTGTTGGTGATGCTGAGATATCAACTGTTGCCTCATCTGCAGCTGAAGATGAAAAATCCACTCCAAAAGCAGAGGACACTTCAAAACTAACTGATGATTCTGTGGATAAATCTGATGTTAAAAATGAATCTGATGTTAAAAATGAATCTGTGGGGGAGACAACCGAAGTAATAAAACCTCTGTCAGTGTCTACACCGGCAAAAACTGATGATACTGCCAAAGTTAAGGCAGATGTTTCTGTTGAAGAAACATTGGCAGGGGAGGGGAGTGATAAGGGGGCAGGTATCAAGCCGGATAAACCTGGTGAAGAAAAAGATAGATGGGCAGAAACCTGAAGGGGACAGTGAACAGTTAGAGGTGCTGGTGGATGACACACAAAATGACCTGGATGCTGACCTACTTAATTCTCAGAGTTCAGCTAAAACAGAGGGAACTAATGATGGAAGTACCAAAGGGAACTGGAGATGGTAAAAATGC